TAGAGCGCGAATGCTCTAATACAACCTTCTTCATGAGTATACGCGCCATATCGCTATTTCGGCAATGATAATTTGCCACGCATCTCAGCACAACCTTTCGTGCACAAGACAATGCGCGCACGCACTCTCCCGTGGATTGATATCACAGGATTATTTCATCAGTGATATTTTAACTCTGCGTTTAGCAACTTCTGACGCTATTAATGCGATCTATGATAGCCATTTCACATTTTTCCGTGTGGCTTCACTTCGCGCGGATGATGCGAAGACGCATTTTATAAGAAAAAAACGTCATCCCTCTTTTCTCATGACGTGCAGCTGATACATTTCCCATTATGTTTCTCACCAGCGCCATCCATTTAAGCAGCACGACATTGCAGCAAATGAATTAGTATAAATCACAAGGCAAGTAACCGCTAAAACATTTCTATACACCAACAGTCGGATTTGCTCTACAGTGTCTCCAGTTTTTGCAGCACACGTCCCCCTGTTTGGTGACATTCGATTTGCGACACGTAAACGCGACGCGCTGCGCTTCTCCCCAGAAAGTACCTGCGCGCGCGCGTCTGTCAGAAATGGCCGTTACTATGGTTTCACACTCGGTTCGGCTGATGCTTGCCGCATCACGCTGCATCGGGTAACACTCCGCATTATTATCCGTGCGCCCTACAAGATCACTTCGCCGCGCAGTAATACGTTCGCGTCGACCCGGATAAAGGTCAAGACACACTGCAGCGATAACGACCAACAGTAACGTTTGAAGACGAACAATGCGCCGCATTACCGCCGCCCACTACACGCGAGCGCGCGCGTGATCAAGTTCGACTCAACTTTTGCCGGATTGAGAATTACATTTGTTCTCTGGGGATGTTTCGTCGATGAACGCGCCCGCCACTAGGCGCGTGACGATCGCTCGAGTATGTCACCATTGATAGAGCAGGGAATCGAGACCTTGAACGCGGAATAGAGCAAGTCGAATAGGACCGTCGCGGGCGCCAAGACCCTGGTCGGATTACCGCGATATAGCCGCGATATATATCGCACACGCGCTCACGCATAAACACGCGTACACGCGCACACACACACACACACGCGCGCGCGCATACACACGTGTTTTAAGATCAAAATAGCTGCTTTGTAATTCGTAGATAACGCTCTGGTAAGAACTTATTGTCGTTGTGAAAGTCGCATAACATATCTCACAGTGAAAAAGTCTAAATCGGAAAACTATTTATAGAAAAAATATTCTAAGATATTATAGAGAGAGGGGGTAAGAGTGAAAGCGAAAGCGAGAGAGAGAGAGAGAGATAGAGAGAGAGAGAGAGAAAGAGAGAGAAAGTGTAGTGTGTGTGTGTGTGTGTGTGTGTGTGTGTGTGTGTGTGTGTGTGTGTGTGTGTGTGTGTGTGTGTGT